GAGAGAGAGGGGGTGAGAGAGAGAGGGGGTGAGAGAGAGAGGGGGTGAGAGAGGGGGAGAGAGAGGGGAGAGATAGAGGGAGGGGGGAGAGATAGAGGGAGGGGGGAGAGAGAAGAGAGAACGAAGAAGATGAAGAAGAGAGAGAGGAGAGAAATAGAGGGAGGGCGGGAAAAGAGAGAGACAAGAATTAGAGGAGAGAGAAGAAAGAGAGAGAGAGAAAGAAGGAGGAGAAAGAGAGAGAGGGGAGAGAGAGGTAACATAGAGGGAGAGAGAGGAGATAGATAGAGAGAGAGAGGAGATAGATAGAGAGAGAGAGGAGATAGATAGAGAGCGGAGACGCAGGTAAGTTTAAACACTTTTTAAAAAAAAATGTTTTCGCATTTATTTACTGCTTGCTAGCCCTAGATATATGCAAAAACACGCGAGGGTTTAATAACCCTTTAATAATGGACATCACTGCGCTTCTAGGCATTGATAAAGCCTTTGAAATTGTTTTGTATCCATCTCCTGTCTCGTGCCCGTCCACAACTTTATCCCAGAGATCTTATGACAGTGCCGCCTTGCCCCCCATAATTCATTGTTTGCTTCAGTTTCACTACCAGGGACTGAAATGCTCCAGGAACGCTCTTTTCATGCTGAGCTGATCACAATGCACCCCCCCCCCAGCTGATCACAATCGAAGGTACAATGGCTTTGTGTGCCATTGAGAAGGTGATTAGCTACTCCTGATTTTTTTCTGACATGTTGGTGTTCCATCTTTCACTTGGATGTTATAAGCTGCACTGAGTAAATACAGCTGGATAAAACAAACACTGTGTCTGTCTTCATTTCAGGCTGCAAAGCAACAAAATGTGATTATTTTAAAGGGGGGGGGGGGATCTCTCATCTATATATATATATATCATGAAGGGGAAGCTCAGGCACCTGAATTCCGCATCAATCACCTCAACAAATTTTATACACCCGCCCGTAATAAAATCATTACACCACATTACGCCCGGAGCCGGAACAGCTGCACCGACTCAGCAGAATTTCGTTCCTCGCCGTCACTGAAGCTTAACGCCGGCGAAAAGAAAAACATTTAAAAAAACACAAAAATAAGCAAAACTGATTCAGTGTTTCACATCCTGCGGAGGAGATGAAATCGTTCACCTTTTGCGCTGAAGAGGATCAATCTCCGCGCGGCGCTCTGTCAACATGACAGCCAGTGTTACGGACGACAATATAATTATTCACAGCGCGGCGAGGTGCAGCCACGAGGCGCTCCTTATCGCAGCCCTTCCGCCGCTATCTCCCCGCTCCGGCTTCCTCGCCCCTCCGACAATCTCATTACGGCCCATAATTGAAAAAAAAGGGAAAAAAAACGACCCCGGG